GAAGGAAGATTTGGCTTTTATAGAACGTTACACCTGTTTCTTCTGTTTTGCATAGTAATTTAAAATCATTTTTTAAAAGTTAAATAATTATTTAAGATATAAAAAGTTATTTTTTAAAATTATTATTATTATTATTATTAATTCTTAATTGTCCTAAAATATATATAAATATTAAATAATTAATTACGCTAAATAGATAGTAAAATAAAATTATAAATTAAGGATATCTTTGATGGTATATCGAATATTTTCCACTGATTTTGTATTTTTATGATTTCATTTTAAAATATTTAGTAATTTTATTCTACTTATTGTCAATTAAGTTTTAAATCGAAAAATAAAAGAAAAAAGGCATTAAAACAATATCCTATATTTAAGATTGTGACATTAATATTAATTTTATGTAACACTAACACAAAATCATAGAGGTTATCATAGAGTTTTTGCTGTTATAACCGTCTAACGAACAAAATCAAATTACAATTTATATAATTTTAAAAATCATCTTCTCTTCTAAAAAAATCTTGAAACTTCTGTTACATGTCAATTGCATATAATTTATAGTGAGAAAATATGGGTGGTTACAAAAAGATTTTATGAAGATTATCTTTTATTTTTATTAATTGTGATTACATTTCACTATGCTTGTATGCTTTTATGAAGATTATTTCTTATATTAGAACTATGATACTCGCTTTTATCTCTTGTAATCATTGACAAAAGTAGAACATATAAGTAATATAAAATGGTTTCACATTATTTATAATTTTGATTTCTAAATTTTCTTTTCACAGATTTGATTATTATTAACGTTGTTAAAATTATATTAAATCATTATCAAATTATATTTTTGTGATAATAAATTTACATAATATCTCTTCCAAACATCGAATATTGTATTTATTATAAAGTTTATTAAATAACTTTATTAGGTAATTTATATTGTATGTAAGCTGATAAAGGGTAAAAAAAAATTTCCAGTTTTTATCCTAATGCAACAATCTTATAAGATTCATTTTTGGTTAATGTTTTGTTCATTTATTGAAAAAATGTTTTAAAAAATATATTTGTTTGTATTAATATAAATTAAGTTTCTAAATTTTAAGATGCGTATGATCCTCAACTGATATATATATAAATAATAAATATTTAAAATAAAATTACAAAAAGAAATATGAAATAAATTAAAATTTAATTTAATAAAATATAATTTAATTTTAATTTTAATTAAACTTAATTTAATAAAATATAAATTAAATTTTAAAATTTATCGAAGATAAAAAAAATTTTGAATCGTATTACTTGCGTTATTAATAATTATGTATATGATGTATATGTTTAAACGAACAAAAAAATAATATAAATCAATCGTATTTGTTATCATTCTCCTTATGTATTATTTCTCTTCTCTCCTGAAAATAGTGAACTGAAAAAAGAAAAGTTGGAAAGGAAGATTTGACTTTTATATGACGTTACACCTGTTTCTTCTGTTTTGCATAGTTATTTAAAATCAAGTTTAGGAATTTTGTATAAATTATATTTATTAATTAAGATGAAGAAATTATTGCTTGTTTCATATATTTTTTAAAACTTTATCTATTAATCATTTCTTAAATTTAAATAGTTATTTAAGATATAAAAAGTTACTTTTTAATACTTTTTTTTATGAATTTAAATAATTTTTAATAAAAAATATTTAAATAGTAGAAAAGTGTACAAATTACTTATTTGTATGATTATTTTAATTAAACAAAAATTAATTTATAATTTAATAAATTTTTTATACAATAAAAAATTGATATACATGCATTTTTTCTAGTTATATATAATAATATAATAATGATAGATAATAATACATAGAGATAAAAGAGTAGATAATAGGAAAAAAATTATAAGAACAACAATTTAGAAATAAAATAATTAAATAAGTTAGTTGTTGTTATTATTATAATAAGATAATAAATTAATTCATTTAATTATTGCAAAAATAAAACTTGAACAGATGCAAGATTGTATAATTATAATAATAATATTTTTGTAATTTTAAATCACAATTTTAATTTTATTTCAACATCTTTTTTACTATTTATATTTAATTTTATAATCCATTTATCCTTAAATGTAAAATAGTAATTATCTAATTTTATTAATTAAAATATTTTTTAACTTATTATACTCCTATACGCAAACTTTTATAAACTTTTTTTTGAATTATTTCATTTATGTCTTGAAATTTCTTAATCCAAATAATACCACAATCTCCTTTTTATCCCTTCAAATCTATTTATTCGATCTCGTTCAAATTTTTTTTCTAATTCAAACACTACCTAAATTTATTTAATTATCTTCGTCTTCTACAAAGGTAGAATTAATTATTCCAAACCAAATCCAAAATCATGTAACTTTGTATAATAATTATCTTAAAAAGTTGTTTACTAATTAATTGAGATTATGAGAAAATTCATTGAGAATGTATTAAAATTAAAATGCATTCATTGTCCTAGCATATTCCTTTTAAACGTTGAACTAAGGCATTAGAATTCACTAACAAATAATAATGATACCAAAACACACTTTTACATTCATTTAACACATACTACAAGGGTAAAATGATCCTAAAAGTGTAAACTTTTGTATTGTCTCAAGAAAGAAAGAATAAAAAGTAAATAAGGATAATGTCAAATGAATGAAAAATATTTAGGTGTGTCAAAGAATCTTTACCCGTCCACAAAACATTTGATGTCAGAACTTGTTCTCCAACTTCGTTTCCAGCTGTATCCAGACCAGTTCGAACATGATTTCTTAGTATTTCTTTGACTAAAATTGGAAATCCAAAGAAAATACAACAACAACTCCTAATGAAACCTTTGAAATGGTTTGGTTTTGGAGTTTGAGATAACTTTGTCATCCTTATTTACCTAAGAGTTTGAAGGGAACCGAAACAAGATAAAATCATGCACTAATTAGTATATTCCACTTAATTGTAATTTAATCAAGTATCAAGAGTTTAAGCTTATTCAGAAGGAGGAATCAAATGTGACTGCGTAAACAGTATTTACAATGTGTTATGATAAGACTGAATCAGATAACAAAATAACTGATCCAAAGGCTGACACCCTCATTGGTACTAAGGCGTACCCATAACTCATCCATATGTTGAACTAACTAACAAAATGCTACACAACATAATTATTAGATTATTATATACAGGAGTCATGTCCCTTCCAAGTATTTTCACGATCCAACTAATCCCTTATTGCGAGCATAGGCTGTAATTATGACAAACATCACAGCAGAAAGTACTCCTGAGACAATAACTACCTGCAACAAACCATAATCGTTTTTATTCCTTAATCACACATCAACTCCAAAATGTTACATGCTCTTAAAAAGAAATAGGTATCTGATAGCAAACTCCACAAGTATTCACTAACATATACTTCCTTGCTTTTTTAACATGTATTTTAAGATAACCTTGATTGCAACTTGCTAATAAATTCTTTTTCTAAGAAAACAAATAGCTGCAATTTAGCAAATTCCATATTATATATAGGCACATGTTCAATGAGTAATCATTTGCATACCCATTTGAACATGTAATCATGGTTGTCGTTCCAAGTGTATGGGATATTCATGCCAAATATAGCAGTCACCAAAGAGTAGAAAGATAGGCAAACAGTTCCAGAACTAAGAAAGAGTTCTAACTGCATAAGAGTTGAAGACCATTTAGCAATTTCACTAACAAAAACATAACAGAATACTGGCAGATATTTCATGCAAGTGCAGAAATACGGAAAGCACCTGAATGAGCTGATTACGATGGTTGTCAAGCTGCCAAATGGAAAATTGTCATTTGAATTTTCGTGTCATTAAACATATACTCAGATATCTTCAGTAAATTGATAGCTACTTACTTGAATATTAATATAATCTTCAGTATCATCAATGTACTCTCGCAGCTTTAAATGAAAAAAGAGAAGAAATAGTTAGGTAAAAGTAAAGCTATCCTAAACAGCACATTCAGAGTTTGAGTAAAATTAGACAAGTAAATAACACAGGCTTTTAAAGAGACCAAACAAATATGAAAACAGTAAACTAGTTTTCAGTCCGGTTTTAGAAAAGTCTAATCTAATTCGCTTAAAGTCTCTTAAATCATCACCCCACAAAATTCAGGAATCTTGACAACGTGAACTAGACATAGAATCAGAATTATCATAATATTTAATTTCAAAGGCAAAACTGGTACAGCAAAGACCCAAGTATGGTCTACTTAAACCAAAAGGAAAAATAGCACAAATCACTCAATCTCACTCAAGAAGTAATCCAACAAAGACTACATCTCACAAGTTCTTAAAACTAATGTGGAGAATTTTAAAAATTTGCACAAAATACTTCCAAATCAAGATTTTGAACATAAACCACAAAGTTCAACTTTAAAACAGCAGCAGATGGAAGAAGGAAGAGAGCAAAATGAAAATCCGTTTTGTTAATGAAAAATTTCCCAAACTGTTGTATTTGCCAAACATTAACAAGCTTACTAGTATGGAACTAAAAGTCTCTACCCAAAGGGCAAGGCCATGAGTTAACTGTCTAATAATTAGAAGACTAAACAAATAATGGGTTATAAATTAATAAGAAACAAATTTTTTTTTTTATATATTTACAAAGAAACAATCTTCCCAAACACTTTCTATCTAACATGTAACCTCTATGTCTGAAATTTAACATTTACGGCTCCTTACTGCACATGTTTTACACATACGTGATACTTACTGTGGTTAATTTGTTCAACGTATGATCAATTTCACTAAAATAAGCCTGCAAAATGGATAAACACCATTAATAACAACTTTTCCTCATTAAAATAATGGAATATTTTTTCCTACTATTCTTTAAAGCAAGTACAGTTTATAACCTCAAGTAACATTTCAAGCTCTTCCACATCATTTTCATCTAAACGGACTGTTGCTAGACTTGCTCTACTTGCCCTAGATATCCTTGATCCTAAGGTGGGGGAGGAAGCAAACCAATTTGAAGCACCTATTCCACTGACTGGTGATGATGAACCAGCTTTTCTTGACAGGTATAGGTCAGCCATATCATCATCATCATCCAGCAATTGTTCCAGCTCATCTCTGACCTGTTCCAGATATCAAGAATTGGTGATGGAAGAGGAAAAAGGGATGTAAGTGAAATTTTTTCAAAGGCTTAACAGAAAAACTTGACTTACCTTTTGTACTCTAGCCGTCAGCCTTGTCATTGCGCTCTTCAGTTTACGAACTCTGTCCAAATTACGACTACTAATCTGCAGATTACAATAATCCAAGGTTCATGACAAAACCAAAAAAGTCAAGAAATAAAAGGGAGACAGGGAAGTAGAGTATCCACATTTCAAGTCAGACAGAAAAAGAAAATCATTTAAAAATCAGGCATAACTAGAAAAAACACCTCAGCATGATAAGTTATAACAAATGAAAAGGATAGTAACTAAAATGAAGGAAATAAATTTTCCCTTAGCCACTTTCAAGCAGCTTCATAATGTGTTAGCTTATGTTATATATAATGCATCAAGAAATAGACTTTAAACTTAACTCAATCTTAGAAAACCAGTTCTTAAGGTGAAGATTGTCTTTTCCAATATAATGAAAGGATACGTAAACATGAAGAGAAAAAATTAAATGATATATATACCTTGGAGGTAAGTTCATCTAGTGCAGGATAAGCAGCCATCTCCAATTCTGTTGTACGTGCAGCAAGAAAACTGCAAATGGCTTCTAAAGCAACTTCCAGGGCCCGGAATTCAAAGGGTGACTCTACATTGCATAATTTAGATCACTCAGATAACAAGGGCAAGAGATAATGCAAATAAAAAGACATATTTATAAGAATAGATGCAATCATTGAGTTTACTGATTACTTATGGTTCACCATTAGTATAGCATACCATCATCTTCAGCTGCTTCAGCATCATTTTGGCCACCAAGATACTCTTTACCTTGAAGACCGGCACTTGATTGAGGCAACCGCCTTTGCAGTTCCTCGACAACAGGGATCACATTTTCATCTGTTGGATCTCTCAACAATACCTATACCATAATTTAGATACAATCAAGAATTCAGGATGCGGAAGCAATGCCATTGCAATTTCTAGAAACAATTAAGCACTCTACGAAGGACCAAAGGTTTGATACAGGAATTCACAAATATGAAAACCACGTTAGAGAGATAGTTAATGAACCTATTGAGGCTGCTTCTGCAATATTCTACTTATATGAGAAAATGTCCTGTGCTGAGATATTCTTGTAGAAGCCATGTAAGGTATATTCTTTCGCAAGTCATTTAAGGTATATTCTTGTACAAGAGCCACTACGTTAATTAAGCACGGAAAAAGAAGCCAACAAGTAGTTTATTGTCTTCCTACCCATTTTATTCAATGAACTTGACAATAAAAAAAAAAAATTCAATCCATCCTCAGATTAGCCATGACATTAAATACAAGAACGGGATAAAATGCTCAGAGAACAAACCCCCTCTTATCATCCCTCCTATTCTCTTATCTCAATCAGTCAAATGTCAAATGTTAAATCTTGTTCCCAAAACCAGTTTCATGTTCTAATTCATGTTCTCTATTTCCGCCCTCGAGAGATAGAAGTATTGAAGGATAGAAAGTTGACTAACCTCTTCAGCGGTGATAATTGCCTTGATATGCTAAAACACGGAATCAGAAAAAACAAAAAACAAAATTAGAAACAAATTGTAACAAAACATTAAACAATCAAAACTGAGTATATGGCGGACCTCCAAGTTAAGAACAATGGCCTTCTCACGACCGAGAATAGTGGAAGGGTAAGAAAGCAAGGGATCAAGGATTCTGAGATCACGCGCATGAATCTGAACCCGATGCATGATTGCATATTTGTCCGCGTCGAGCAATGAACCCTGCCCTGTAGCATCAAACATAATCCAACTTCTCGACGACTGTGTCTTCTTCTTCACAACTGCCTGCGGATCCGCAGGGACGACGCTCCCATCCCGCGCCATCCCTTACCCGTTTCCACCTCCAACTCCAATCACATGCCCCGATACCAGACTCAATTCAATTCAACAATACCCACCCATGACACCACAATCAAATTTTCTCACACCCCTCTTGCACATTTGATCAACACACCAACTCTCAATTTTTTTTTTTCAAAACCACTATGAAGAATCAGATTCCCAGAAGAAACAAATATAAGATACCACAAAAAAGGAACTTTTGCCTCTTTTTTTTCCTTCTCCTGGAAAGGTGAAACAGACAAAACTATGTTTGTTAGTTAATTTGTATTAATTTGCGTCTGTCTTTAATGATCTGTGGTTTATACGAAGAGGCGTGAGAAGGCATGAAATACGGGTGAAGAAATAACTGAAATAAGCTGAGAGGAGAATTGAACCACTTCAAAAAACAAACAGCTCCGTTTATATAGAATGTGGTGAGGGCCCACGCCGATGAGGTGACATCAGGGAAAATGTTGTAGAGACATTCCTCTTGGAATATTGTTAAAAAAATAATCCTCTTACTTTAATTAAAATCAATATTAAAATGATTTCATTTATAATGTTATGTTTTAAAAGAATTTATATAAACCTACAAAATTATTTCAAAACTGTTTTAATTCAAAATTAATTTTGAATTAAGAATCAATTTTTCAATATATTAATGTTAATATGTAAATATTTAAAAATCATATGAACTAATATGTCAAAATAAACTAAACAATATTAGTCTTGTTTCCACATTTGAATTGTATTTTTATTTCATTTTAAACTTTAATAATAAAAATTAGAAAAAATACGTGGTTCAATATTCAGAATTTTTCATTTTACTATTTCTTATAATAAAAATATCATATTAACTAATATGTCAAAATAAACTAAACAATATTAGCCTTGTTTCCACATTTGAATTGTATTTTTATTTCATTTTAAACTTTAATAATAAAAATTAGAAAAAATACGTGGTTCAATAAAAATATTGTAACATAACGGAAATAATAATGCAAACGTTGTATTCTTTAAAATAAATTTTCTAAGTAAAATAACTACAGAAAAATAAAAGTTTAAATAAATTATTAAAAGTATTTATTATGAATTATAAATAAAACATTTGTTAAAAGTGGATTTCTGGACACTTGAATGTAAAAGTTCATTATCTATATTAAATATTAGTGAAAAACATATGTATCCATTTTTCTTTTACTACAACTTAACTTTTAATTATTGAAATAAAGTATACTAATAAATTATAAAATACTTTTTGTAACATCCGAGATATATAGTAGCATATAATATAGTAAGTCCACATTATAATAAAGGAGAACAATGAGAGTAGACTGTAAATAAAGTCGATAAGCTTACAGTCATCCCAAATATGGTCGGAATTTAAAACTTTAACATATTAGGGTATTTCAAAATACAGGAAGGAACTAAGAAAGTCCTATGAAGACTAAGTAGCGGCATCATCTTCTTCCAAGGCTTGCTCCAGAGGCACCTCATCCATCTCTGCTCACATCCAAGTGGATGATCATTGCAAAAGAAAGCATACCCAAGCAAACACAAATACACAAACAAGGGTGAGCTAGATATAAAAAAATCATGTTATACCAATCACACACAATATGCAATTAAAGGCAGATATAATAGACCACGCAACATAACTTCTTACACTTTACACTTGACTCGTCTGGACTAGAATGATTGCCGAGCTACGGCGGGTTATGCACTCGTGGTGGTCTCTACTGCTTTGCAAAGCCATTGCCAATGGGTTTCACCCTACCACACTCACGAGGTTAGTCCGTTATCACTCACCTTGGGCCATACTGGAAGCACCCAAGACTAGGACCTCCTGTTACTCCTTACCACATGGATCAATCCTCTCTACTTGAGAATGAAAGACCATTGGAGCGTCAGGAAAACCCCCAAAACTGAGCTACCATGCAATCATTCCAAACACAGAGGGCACCACCATGAATCCTCACCTTGAGGCCATGGAATTACGTCCATTACACATAGGACACCACCATGTGACCTCCCTTGAGATCCATGAAATTACGTCCATTACACATACTTGTTACATTCAACCACCAAACATGTCTCACACATTCACATACTTTCAGTATAATAACATTACCACGATCATACTATGCATCTCAATCATCCCACACACTTAATTCAACCCAAAACAAGAGCAAAAGAGACTGGAACCGAACACTATGAGCTTTGGCCGAACGCTTAGGGCCTTGACCGAACACCTAGAGCCTTGGCCGAACGCTATCAAGACCACCACTAAGACCGAACGTTACCAAGACCACCCACTAAGACCAAACGTTACCAAGACCACCCACTAAGACCAAACGTTACCAAGACCACCCACTAAGACCGAACGTTACCAAGACCACCCACTAAGACCAAACGTTACCAAGACCACCCACTAAGACCGAACGTTACCAAGACCACCCACTAAGACCGAACGTTACCAAGACCACCCATTAAGACTGAATGTTACCAAGACCACCCACTAAGACCAAACGTTACCAAGATCGAGCACCATCAAGACCGAACGCTCAACTGCAGCGTTCTGCATAATTCTGCAGAATCATGACAAAACTTCCCTTGACCATTTTTATCAACTTCTAACACCCTTAATTCTTGTTTTAGACTTAATTAAACTTATCCAAATGATTTTAAACATTCCTACTCCCATTTTCAAGTGATTAAAGTTCAATTTTAACTCTAAAACACTAATTTCAACAACTTATGGACCCAAATCCGATTCTACTACTTGGCACATGTTTTAGACCACTTTTATGCTTCTAACAAGTCACAATGAACTTGTCTAGGCTGCCCCAACAGTCCAAGAACACTGCAGCCCTCATTTACTCAAAATCACTACCTCACTTCCTCTCAAAATGACCTAAAAACTACTAAAACCCCAAATTTTCTACCCAATTAAAGTATACCATATTTTCACACTTAAATCACTTCGAATTGGTCAATTATAGCAATTCAAACCCATCCAAATCAATTCCAAACAACTCAACACAGTTTCATGGATTTCACATATCAACACATACAATACAACATACTCAATACGCAAAAACACAACTCCAAACAGAGCACAAAGTCAAAATCCAATATACATACACTTCATGTAAGAAATTTAAAGAAGTATTCTACCTCCCCTTACCTTAGGGTTTCATAGCTAAGCTCACAACTTGATTCAAGAGTGCCCAACTCAAAGAGAACCCAATCAAACCCTACAAACCACCCAATGGGTGATGGAACAACTCTTTAGAACTAAGTTTGACAAAAATATGAAGGAAAAGGCTTCTAGGCACATGCCCTAAGTTCCCAAAAGAGGAGGAAAAAGGGGAAACAACTTACCCGTTGAAGAACGAGAATCTAATCGAATGGTTACGAAGCTCTCAACTCCATGAACGAAAGAACACCATCTATTTATCAATGCAACTGTTGAAATTTGTGTAAAGGTAGAAAGAAGGTAGAGCAAGGTTAGGGAAAATAAGAGTTCTATAAAGAGAAGGGAAAATTGGCTACTGAATTCAGATTTTTGAAAGGTCCTGTTTAAGGTCATGATGTCCTTAGTTTCATGGGTCAGACTGCTTCAACATAAGGCCTAACTGCCCTATATTCTTAGGCCCTTACAGTTTTTATAATTATAAAAATAAATAACTTTTATAATTTTATTATAAGTTTTTTTTGTGTAAACAATTTTTTAATTATGAGTAATTATTTAAATTCAAAATAATAATATTTAAAAAATAAAAGTAAAAAATGTTTTTTAATAATTATTTAAATTAAAAAACAGTTACTAAAAAAGTAAAATTATAAGTAAATTGTGTAAAACAAATGAATATCAATATTGATAAATCAGTTTAGAAAAAATGTAAGCAAATCTTATTATATGATATGTTCCAATAATTATTAGTTAATAGTATAAAAAGTCTGTAAGATGGCAGCATGTAACAATCCAGAGTATCCGAATTTCCAGAGTTTCTAGTAATGGCGGCTCTCGCAAAGACCTACAAGATGGAGGTGGTGGAGTGATAAGAAACAAATCTTTTTCAAAAAGTTGAGTATGGGTAAAAAGATACCACCACAGAAGATAAACTTAACCATCGTCCATGTTTATAATTATTATTATCATATTGACCTTTATAATTATTATTATTAATCGTCAAATAATTTTGGCTATAAAAAAAATATTGTAAAGTATTATTATTCTTTTGTACAGTATCTGTAGGGATGCAAAAGATTGATAGAACCCTTTGGTTGGTGATGACAAACCAACCAATTTTCGAAAACCAATAACCAAGAAAAGTTCAGGGAACGTAAGAATCAAAGAAAGATGAATGATAAAAAGTATGACAAGACAGAAAGCAATGACACATGGGTATAGGAAGGCCTTTTTCACAACAGAGAATCAAGCCTCAAAGCCATCCAATGAAAATGAATACTCAACATATTAGTTCAGTAGAAACTTATTGGAGGATCAATATGCACTGATGGTGCCTTGTTCATGTGTCTTTTTATTTTCCTGTTAAGAATTGAGAAATTCTGGAAGGAGTTGGATCATTTACAAAGGGCATTTCTTATTGCATGAACGGTAGAATGACCATATGGTCAACAGCAAATTGATGATAGGAAATTAAGATTTTTCATGATTTGCAAACACATTTAAATTGCATAGAGATCTCACTGGAACCCTTGTCTACATCTAATCCAACTTCTCTCCATTTCAATATTTTTTTTAACCTAAACTCCACCTTTGTAGGTTCAATTCGTTTTTTTGTAATCTACAGGAGTTTATGAATTAATCAGTTATTATTTTATGGAAGTATCAATTTATTTCAAATTTTAATTTTGTTATGGGAGTAATGTTTTTCTTTTCTTTTTGGTATATATATCATATTCCTTTAGTTTAACTTAAAATTTAATATTATCCAACAAAACAAATTCCTACAAATATTTAAAACATTAACCACTCCAATTTTATACATTATTGTTCTAACTCATTTATGTGAAAGGCTACTTGTCCCAGGAAAGAAAAAACATGATTCAGAGTAGAGACAATTATAGAAATGTTGAATCTGATGTGAAAATCGTCAATATATTGGACAGTATCTATAGGCAATTTTCTTTATTTCTTTTCAAAAACTTTCCTACCAGTTTAGCTGTTAATTTCTAACTCGCCATAAGTTATTATATAAATCCCAAGTTAGACCTTCATTAATCACTATTGTCGTTGTCCATCAGAAAAAGAAAAGCTGATAAGTAAATATCTTATTGAGGTGAAGTGACTATCAAGTTAAGGCTTATCTAGTTTAGGTGAGATGGTTGTCATGTCAAGATATTTA